AATACCACATAGATTAATATTTATATTTTACATAAAAACAAATAAAATTACCTAATTACCCTCACCCTCCCAATTCCTCTTCTTCCCCTTCTTTTTTTCTCTTTCTTTCTTTCCTACCCTGGGTCTCCACCAGGCTGGATTCTAATGGCTGCGACGAACCCAGCCTGGCTGGGTCTCCTTGAACCCAACAAGGGTAGGTTTCGACGAGACCATGCAGGCTGGGTTCCGACGAGACCCAACAGGCTGGGTTTCCCCGAACCCAGCTGCTTGGTTCGACAAGACCCAGTTGGGTTCCAATGAACCAAGCCTTGCTGTTTCGATACTGGATTCATGTTTTTTCATTCTTCTTTCGATTTTCATTCCCAGTTGTTAATAAATTTGATAGTTGATTTACAATTTGATTGTATTTTTGTTGGAATTTGATTAGCGTTTGATTGATATTGTTTATTGAAGGGTTAATTTGATTTGATAAGATCTACTAAGTTTGAGGCTTCAATGAAACCCAATAGTTGGGTTCAATTTCTCAAGTTCTCTTGAGAAAAGAGAACAAGAAGAAATAGGTTAAGATCGGTTTTGTAGAGGAGTGGAGATGAGAGAGCATTTAGAGAAGAAGAAGAAATGGGTTAAGATTGATTTTGCAGATGGAGTGGAAATTGATTTTGCAAAGAGTGAAGATGAGAAAGGAAGATGACATATCGTCAAAAAAGTCCAAATCAGCGCCTTTTTAAATTATTTTCGACATGTCATAAAAAAAATATAAAAAATGCCATGTGACTGAGTTAACAGTCAAAATTGACAGAAGGATTAATGGAGTGCATTTTGTATAGTTGAAAGATCAAAAAAGTACAAAAAATTACTAAAGGACCAAAAATGTGCAACTCACTAAAGTTAAGGAACCAAATTTAACATTTAACCTTTGTTTTATATACAAACTTATATTATATGTATGAACTTATAGTTATATATTAACTTATGTATCTTTAGTATAAAATTTAATGGGCAAACAAATATATCTGTAGGTATATCTATACCCAACAAGTTACATATCAGGTATAATATTTTAATATCCAAGTAAGTACTAAGTATTAAAATATTGTACATGTTACTGTTTAAATCAAATACAGGTATGACCAATACCTGACCCATACCTACCTATCCTCATCCCTACTTCCTGTATATCCATCCATGTAACTAATTTTAACTATCTTTTGTACGGTAATTTTAAATAATATTTATATATATAAGGAACAATTGTTTTATATGCCTTTTTTTAAAATCTTTTTTGGTGACCTATTTAAAAAATTCAATAT